ATTTATGAAAAGTGTGTCCCACAAAAATTGCAATGATCAATTTAATAAAAATCGTATTTATTAGATATCTATACATACTTTAGATGTTGAATGACCATTTTAAAATAGAGGGAGGCTGCAAGACTGTCAAGATATCTAAAGGATGCAACAATAGAAAAGCCAACATAATAGAATACAATTCAAAACCAACCCATCAATACACAAGTTTGAACTATTGATAGTATCTATAAGCTCTCCTCATTAAAAATCAAGAAAAGAGACAAATGGATAAAAAATATAAAAAGGAAGGGATACTATATCATGGAATGATACCTGTATCTGGAATAGATTCCTGAAACCTATTCAAAAACACTACAGGTCTCATTGTGGTATAACAAATTCAAAACATATTTGGAAGGTTAGGCCCTGACAAATCTCCATCTTTATATATACTTTAAGAATTCTACACCCACCCAGTCTGTCATTCTTCCTTCAGATTCTGAATATCTGGTTAAGCTGCAGGATTCTTTACAGGCAATTCATAACAAATGATGATAAGGGAGAACAAAGGTGGGCAGCCTTTGTCCATTCATGGTGTTTTGGCCTACAATTTCCATCAGCTCCAGCTAGCATATCAAATTCAAGTAGAAAAGTATGGCAACATGGTAATTTGTACCATTCTTCTTCTTAGGGTTAGGGTTAGTTAAGGTAACTAATTAACAAGTTAAACAGGTGTGTGTGTGTCACTGTAGTTCTGTTTAGAGCAGAAGCAAATGCAGTTGAAGTGAATGTAAGTAACTTAACTAAGATTAACATTGTATATAACCATCTGTATTAAGAGAAGAAATACCTGCAAGGAATTACCATCATTTTTTATTTATTTTACCTCTTACAGACATGTAAGCATGACAGAACCATGGCTTACTACTGTGGTCCAATGACTTAAAGGTAGAATAAATTAAGTGAATTTGATTTGGTTTTTGTCTTGTAACATTTACAGGGACAAAGATTAAGAAATGAAGGGGATTTTATAAAGTTTTAATGCCATATGTTATATTTTTTGTTGTTTAAGTCTGTTACTTTGGATTTTAGCACAGTCTTGAGAGACAGGATGGACAGAAGAAGGTTAATAGATCAAGAGGACTTCTTTATAGTCATGACCAATGTGCAAAGTATCTCCTTTGTTAGGACCACAATGTTAGGACCACGTTAGACAGACTTGAAGACTGTTCTGGAAGGTTGAGGCTATATGGGCAACAGAGTATACCTTTTCTCCCTCTAACAATCTAGATCATTCATACATTGAAAAAGGACCACAGCTTTGAGCTAGGCAAAGAAAGACACAGCGAGTGCAGAAGTTATGCGTGGTAGGCATTAAAAGCTCAGGCCGTTTCCTAGAGATTTCATGTCCATTGCTTCCTAGAGCAATGGACTTTGGTTGTCTTTAGACGTGTTTTTAAACTATGCCTCAAGCAATGCTCAACCTATATATTTGTAAACCTTAAACACTTCAAAAATTACAAAATGCCAATGTAAGGCTCCAGTGACCACCATTTCCAGGTACAAACTGCACCCCTGGAACATCTCACCTTTCAGGGAATTGGTGGTTGTTATGTGCCACGCATCATCTCCAACTTATGCTATGAAGGAAAGCCCTCCAGAATGTCCTGTGCTTGATAGAACTGCTCAGTTCTTGTACATTCAAGGCCATGGCTTCCTTTTTTTGGAATCAATCCTCTTAGTTGGTCTTCCTTTTCTTCTTCCGCATTCAACTTTCCCTAGCATGATTATCTTTTTCCAATGAGTCTTGCCTTATCATGACATGTCTAAAGTATGACGCCTTCAGTGTCAACCTCGCTTCCAGGAAAAGCTTGGTTTGCGCCAGGACCCACTTGTTCATCTTTCTTTCAGTCCAGGGTATTCTCAAAACTCTCCTATGATGAAACAATCTGAAATGGGGATTGGAATATTATTATTATTATTATTATTATTATTATTATTATTATT